TGTGAAGGTGGGTTCTCATGCTAGGATTGAAAATTGGCGGAGATTCTCTCTTCACAGTCCCCATCTTTCAGAAACCTGGCTCTCAAGCCGTGTCAGGGTGCCGGAGTCAAGGGCTGGAAGCAGCTTTGCAGATTGGAGCAGTTTTACATGCTTGACTTTGCAGAAAACCACGCACGCCTAGGCCAGGCCCCATGCTGTGTCCCCAGTGCTGGGCACGGTTCCGGCCCTGGGGTTTCTTAGTCCTGTGGGCTTCAGGCATGACATGGCATAATAGTGTGTTACGATTGGATTTCTTCAGGCAGTTCTGATGCTGGGGTCTAAGGAACAGTGCTGCAGGACATGTCGGGGGCAAGAAGGGAAGAAATTAGAAGTGAAAATAAAAATGTTTTAAAAATACAATTTAATATCTTACAGGGAAAAAAAGCATTTACAAGTGTCTAATAGTTGGTGCTCTGTGAATGGAGTACACACACCAAAGTTTGTGGGGTAACACTGGTCAAATAATAGGTAGGTTTGCAAAATCTACGTGGAATGGGGTTTTCTGTGTTTGTTTTCTAAATGTGGTGCAATGGCACACTAACTTTTCTTTAAAATGTCAGTATTTTGGTATACCAGCAAAGCGTAAGGGATTGGAAGCCACTGTGACAGCATTCCCAGCAGGACCAGCACAGACTGTGGTTGGGCTGCTCTGCTGCAACAAGTTGGGACTGGCCACTGCATGGGCAGAAGATGCTGTGGAGCTCGTCGTAAAAACAGTGCCAGAGAGATGCGAGGCTCTGGTGTAAGGAGAAGCTGAAAACCAGCCTGTAACTTCACTGTTGTTCATGTTATTTAAAGGCTGGATGTCCCTTTTTGTATTCTGGTGATTAGAGAGCAATTCTCAGATTTCATAAGAGCCTGAACAACGTTATTACAACAATTAATGTGTTGCTTCATTCAAAAACTCCTTTACTATCATATTTAGCAATATGAGCTGCAGGGTTATTTTTAAAGCAGATCATCAGCCTGGATAATGCATGAGACTGGCTGTTTCTTTGTCTTAAACATAGAAAATGGTAAGCTGGTCAGAGCTTGTGACACTGTGAGGGTTCCTCCTGCGTGCACCTCCAGATGGGCGCGGGGGGTCGGTGAAGGGGTTGGACACCTCTCCTTGCTGGAGGTGGTTTGCTTCGGTTGCTCTTCTGATGGCCCTCACTAAAAGGGAAATGGAGAGGAAAGGAGCTGATGAAGAGCTGGCTTTTAAAAAGCTCATTTCTTTATTTCCTCTGTCCTCAAGTACCTCGTGTGATGTTGGTGAGGTGTCTGTGTGTGTGAGATACTGTGGCTGCTCAACTTGGATTCCCAGCTCTTACTCAGTATGCAGACTGCTGGTTTGCACGTATAATTAAGTGAAGTCCTGCTGTATGAGGGCTTCTCAGTGCTGTAGGAGCCCTGGCGGAGCGATGTACATCGCTGTTCCACGGTCAGGCCATGATGGATTTATCTCCAGGCAGTTGGGAATCACCTCGCTGTCCTGGGGAGCAGAGGCAGTCCCATACAGATGGAAGGCTGCATGGTGCGTGTGTCAGGCAAAGGTGTGATATATTTCCTTTCTTTGTAAAGCAAGTAAAATAAAAAATACAAAAAATGTATAAGCATTTGTGTACCCAGATAATACTGATTTCCTACAAAACTCATCTGTGTAGTGCCCTGTAATTCCCCTTTTGGGAACCCAACAACCCGTAAAAGTGTTCAGAATGAACATCAGTAGTTTTTGTGTGAATCCTGGACCACGGGAGCCCGGAGCAAGGTTCATTTGTCTGAACACCCCTAAGGCCTGGTGCCCATGCTCCCGTCTCCAGGTTGTCAGTTCCAGTCTGCAGCGCAGACGAGCCGAGCAAACAAGCATTTGGGTGCAAAGGGGAGAAGCCCCCGCTGCTGCTTGGGGTGGTGATGGGGCCATTACGGGTGTTTGCTCTGTCCTTACAACCGCAGAGCTGAGGAAAAGCAAAGGTTTCTCAGCAGCTTCTGAGAGTGAGCATCAGTGCCGGCCTTTTCCAGTGACACTGGGAGGGAAATCAGATTTGGAACAATAGTGGCTGCTGCATTGAATACAGTGGTAAACTTCACTGAATTACATAAATGCCTTATCTGCACTAAAGAAGTCTGGAGAGCCCAGAGGAGCAGCTGTCGATGGATTCCTTGTCAGTGAGGACAGTCTGTTCTCAAAACTTGTCTCCGTCTCGGTTAGGTGTAAAACAGAAAATACTGCTTTGGCTGTTTATTTTGAGCCTTAAAAGCAGAAACCTAAACTCTGAGGCATTTTAACTGTTATGATTCTTACTTCCATCTAGAGGCAGCAATCTAAAAACTTGCAGAAAAACATGCAAAATCCCGAATGTTAGAATTTAGGGGACTTTTTTTCCTGTAAATGGATTGAACAGATGTCCTGTCCTCGCAGCCACCTTGCATTTCTCTGCCATTGAGTTTGGTAATTCCAGCTCCCTTCTGCCTACCCAAGGAGCAACAGCTCAAAACAGATGATGAAGGCTCCTCTGACACCCTTGGCACACCCTCATGTAAGGAGCAGCTCTGCCCTTTTTGTGGTTACACCCACCCCGATGCACAGGCTCTGCCTGTGTGCACTGCCCATGTGTGCTTAAGCACGGCCGTAATGAGCCTTGTATTGCAGGCAGCAGAAATGGGAAAATTAAAAAAGCAACTTCCACAGTAGAGTACGCTTACTGTTCTTCAGCATTTTCATAGTTTATCACTGCTGTATTGTGCATTTTATAGTAATAACCACAAAAATGGGCCAGAGTTCCCCCTCCTGCTCCATTGCTGGGTGTAGGTCTGTGCTGGGGTGCTGGACTGGGCAGACGGGGACTGAGCGCAAAGTCTCATGCTGAATTCTTCCAGAGATACCCGGAGCTGAGGGTTGCAGAGTGCCACGGGCCCTGCCTGGAGAAGCTGGTTGGTAACTGGTAATCCTGGCTGAGTTACCAGCCCTCTGCTCCTTGGGCTGAGCTCCGGTCACTGCTCATTGCTGAGCTGTGTCAGTGCCTTTCAGAAACACCTTCAGACTCCTTGTATGGTTCTGTACACAGTGACTGTTTCAGCAGCTAAGGCTTTAATATATTTACTTTTACTAAAGTAGCTAAGTTAATCCTGTTAAACACTCTATACGTGTTCGGAGAAGTGAATTAATTCCCAAATAGTGTTTAATCCTGAGCAGAAGACACTGAGAAAACCTTGATTTATAGAGATGTTTGGGCCCAGCTGGAAGCTGACTGGAGACTATTTCCATTTCAAGCTGTAAAAAGGTGTTAATCTCTGGAAAATACATGATATTCCTGGTGGAGACGCAGTGAGTGGGAGCTGCTAACTGAGACATCCGGCTGCCTGTATGGCAGGGAAACTCCAGAGGCAGGTGTAATTAATGCACAGTCATCTGAAAACTGCCTTGAAAATTTCAGGCTGCATGGAGGAATCTGCGGGATTGTGTTGGGCTGCTTTAAGTATTGAATTTCTAAAAACAGCGATGCAGGGGTAATCAAAGCGTCTGGCCCATGTGAGGAGGCATCAGCTTTAGTGGGAGGGCTTGAGAGGGGAAGTTCTTGGTGAGGGCTGTGTCTGTTATCTCAGAGAGGTGTGGCACACTCGTGCACTTCAGCTCTGCCGTGCCAGAGCAGCAGAAGCCGTGTTCAGGTGTGGGACAGTGGGAGATACAGTGCAAGGGGGTGCTTGTCCTGAGACCCCTTCTGCAACGCCATGGCACCGAGCAGAGCCTGTGCTCTGGCGTGGTGGGAATGTTGGGGGATGAGGAGCCGTAGGAACGTGATGTTTGGGATGCAAGGGAGCATTGGTGAGGGCTAAGGTAGATTTAAGAGGATTTCTTTATATGCTTTGGAGACTTGGAGTCAATAAAAGGTTGGTATCTCCTTCACGCCTTAAAATAGTGAAGTAAGTTCCAGGATTTTGGATTAGAAAGCAGTTTCTCTGTGGGCACAGTTAATTTGGAGTTGCCCCATGGGACAGCTAAAGGGGAGCTCTGCAAGTGGTGCGGGGACCTGGGGAGAGGGGTTTATAGACGGGGGATCAGGTGATCTGGGGAGATGGGTTTCTGGATGGGGGGATCAGGTGAGCTGGGGATGGGCTGCTGAATGAGGGATCAGGTGAGCTGGGGACAGGGGTTTCTGGATGGGGGATCAGGTATTGTTGCTTGCTGCCTCCTCTTTCCAGCCATTGGGACTGGAGGGGTGAAGGTGCCCCCAAGGGGAGGTTTCTGGGCGCTCCCTCTGGTGAGCGGTATGATAGGGGTTGAGGGCTACGTGGCCCTGGGTGCCCCTTGTGGGGAGGCGGTGCTGGGTTCTCTGCTGGCCTGGACGAGGAGTGTGCTCCAGGGGTCTTGGGGTATCACCAGCTGTGTCCTGCATCACCAGGGCAGGAAAGGATGGGTGGTGAAGCAGCATAGATGCTGGGAGCATCACTGTATGTGTGAGAGATGGGGAGGGACCATGTCTTCCTTCCCTTTGTCAGCTGTGGTTCCTCCTCTTCCCTGTGCCTGATGTGAGAATAGTGCTGTACACACTCAGCAGCTGAGGGTTGTAACCCAAATAACGCTCAAGTGTCCCTAGGAGCAGCCACAGTCAGTAAGCTGCTTGAGTGATAACAAGTAAGTTTTCTTTATTTAAAGTAGATAAAATTACTCTGTAGACTGTATGAATATTCTGTATTCTATACGAAGGTATTTTCATTCCTAGGCTGCAGTTTGTATTCTGTGAGGTGTCCACAGCTTTGATCAGCAATGGTGGTGTCAGTCGGGAGGGAACAGTGTTAGATCAGTTTGAGGGACATTTTTGACAGTTAAGGCTAAGCAGCAAGCCCAAATAGGGAAATCCATTGTGATGTTTTTATTATTAGCCTTACAGGACAACCACCCTTCTGTTTTCTACAGCAGAAGTAAACCAAATCATTGTTAACGTCTCTGTGCACATGCAGAGATTGCAGAGTGTACAGCATCAGGTATCAGTAACAGACGTGTTTGTGGCGGCTGTGAGGCTTGTCCGAGCTGATTTCTGAAGGAACTCTGGTCGCTTGCATAGCACCCTGTCTCTGAAGAGCTTGCAGAGGAACTTGTATATCAGGGGGTTGAAGCAGATGTTCAGGGTGACCATCCACATCATGATCTCCTTGGCCACCAGGAGCTGTCTCTGCAGGTGGCAGCTCATGCGGGTGGACGTTTGACTCAGCGTGTAAGGAACCCTGCCAGCGTGATAGGGGGTAAAGCAGAGGAAAAACACAGTAAAAATGATGAATACTTTCCCCTTGATCCTTTTCTTCAGTTGTGTTGTCTTTCTTCTGTGTTTTTCTGTAAGAGTCGTATACCTTTTTGGCAATAATTGTATAAAATAAAAACATGAGGATCAAGATGGTCCAGAAGATGAACTGGCAGACGTAATTGATGGCTTTGTGCCACTTGAGCCCAAAGGGGCTCTTCAACGCGGCACACTTCTTCATGCTCTGGGGAGTTGCTTTCTTGTTCGTTAAGGCCATGTTGGGCACAGAGAGAGCAAAGAAGAAGAACCAGACCAGAGCCGCAAGGACCTTTGCTGAGGTCAGTTCTTGCACCCAGAACTTCCTGAAAGGTAGCACGATCCTGAGAAATCTGTCAAAAGCAATGAGCCCGAGTAGCACTATGGTAATGTACATGGTGTTGTAAAATACTACGGCTGCGAAGCGACAGACAAAGGCTTTGAGTTGCCACGGCGCCAGGTCAGAGTCCACCAACACTTTCAGAGGAACCATCAGGGTCATGATGAAGTCTGAAACGGAGATGTTTTTCAGGTAGATGATGAAGGGCTTTGTGCTTGGGATGCTGCAGAAGACCCAGCAGGCCATGCTGTTCAGCACCAGCCGCAGCAGGAAGACGAGCGTGTACAACACGGGGAACACCACCAGGTGGGTGGTGCTGTTTTCCCACTCACATGGCACACAGACATGCTCTTCGCTGGCGTTACTGGAAGTGCTCTCAACTGCAAAGTCTGCCATTGCTCCACCAGGCTTGGGTGGAAAGCAGAGAGAGAACAGGAAACATAACGTTCTCTGGTTCTGTGATTCTATGTATTTACAGTGACGTGTTCCTCACGGTGCCTGGCAAGTTTACACAATTCCACAATTCAACACAAACCTGAACCTGCATTAAACAGCCTGACCGATTATCTGTAACTTTGTCTAAGTTTAAGTTGTTTACAGACTAACGAGTAGTAGGAAGCTAAAAGGGTATGTATTCATTACAGAAGCCTAAGGTAACGGAATAGCAATGTGTAACAGCAGATTGCCTGGTGCACCTTTTGTCCTTACATGGAAATGTATCTTAACATTGAATAAGAGTTTTACAGTTGTAATCTAAAAGCAGGGCGCTTCTGGGGAAGCGACTTCTGGTGTTTGTGACCAAGCACACACCACATTTCCTGTGTCAGCATGGATTTAAGCAAGGTTTTCAGGATGAGCTACACATCGCTGGTTATTGGCCTCTCACACCTGAAAGCCAGGTGCCCGAGTGCCCCCTCACACCATGGGCATGCTCCTGTCCTGCAAGTGCCTGAGCACACCCAGCACCCACCACTTTGGTTCCTCTGCTGACAGAGGCCTTGAGCAAAGTGTAAAGAACAGGGAGATGGGGAGAAAAATGAGAGTTGTTCTGTTGATGCGGTGTGTTGTTTCCTTCCCCATTTTCATGTGTCGAGTTAGTTAATCATGTTTGCTCTTGCTTCTCTCTCTCCCTTTTGCTCTCTGTCAGTGTGTACACTACCTTCTTGGCTAATAAAATAAAAACGGACCATATCCATCAAGACAGGCACATTTTCTGGCTCTTTGTTTGTGTGGGGCAGACCGGATGGCCCCAGCACTGTGCCGTTACGATTTGACTGCTTTGGCAACCTGGGGTACACAAACAAAGGGTGTTTCCCACGATAATCCTCCATGTGTGGATTTCCCTGTCCTGACCAGCACCCGTTGTTGTCAGATGCGTGACCAAAAACCCTGCTCAGAGCCACCCTTACGATGGGCGACTGGGCTACAAAACCATCTGCACCGACATACACAGACACCACACCCTCCTCTGTAACCTGTTGGTGTTGGCACGTGAGCCTGAGCTTCACTTTTGATCTCCAGAGTGGGATTTCGGATTTTCTTTGGCATCGACATGGCCAGAAGGTGCAGTATGCTGGTTTCAGCCAGGAGCTGCTGCCCATGCCTGGTATGCTTGGTATTTATTGGGTGTTTGTTGCGTGTAGTGTTGGAATTTAGTAGGTCTCAGAGCTTTTTGTATAAGTTTAGCTGAGTCATGGGGTTTCTCAGGTATTTTCCTGTCCACTGGTGTGACTTGGGGATCTGGTTCCCTGCTTGCTGCCATGTAGGAAGCGGCTCACGTTGAAGCCACCCGTTGTGTTAATGTGGTTGCTTTGAGAGTTTCTCTGTCTGCAGCTATACTGACAAGAACTTTGTGCAGTAGTGTCCACGTTTTGGTTAATGTAGGTGTGTGTGCTGGTGTCAGTGTTAAGTGTCTGGCAGAGAGCAAAGAGCCTTGAGCATGACCAGGATGAAGAAGCAGAACGAGGGGGATGACATCATCATCAGTGGGCCATGTCTGCCTGCCTGACCCAACTTCATTCATCAGGGGTTTGTATAAAGCTGTGACAGTCCTTGGCAATACCCCAGGGCTGATGTCCAAGGTGGCATCTCCCATGTTTTCTTCCCGACTGACTTCTTGATGCTGTTCCCAACCATAAGAGGCAGGTACTGAGTGCCTCTGCATGCCATAGAGTAATTTGATTGGAAAAGATCACAGAGTCCAACCAGAACCTGTCCACCGCCAGACCATTGGTGCCTGCAGCACGGTAGGATGGCTGTAGGATCTGTTGCTGAACAGCTCACCTGATCAGGAACAGCAGCTGCCAGGTAATTGCCACTCTCTCCCCAGGTGCAGGCACCAAAAATGCAGGGAATAAGTGTGGGGTGGAAGTGGGGCATCCAGCGCATCCCCCCAGGCATTGTTGGGGGGCTTGGTGCTGGCACCGGTTCTGGGGCAGTAAAGGAGCCCGTTCTCTGTGGGGGAACCCGGCTGCTGGTTGTGATCAGTGGGGGTGCACGCAGCAGCAAGAAGTGCACAGAACGGTTTGTGAAGTGTTTAATTCATCCAGACAGGTTGTAAGAAATACATAACCTCTGAGTGCTAAAGTAGGTGGGCTCTCTGTTAACTTTGAGGGGGCAGGCAATGGCACTGGGGAGGATGGAGCTCCTGCACGGGCATGAAACCATTTCTGAAGTGGAGCTGTTCTGCAGCGATGATGAATGAACCATGATTTATTACAGCAGCCTAGGATCTCTTTAATGTGTCGTGGTTATGATATCTGAAAACCTCATGTTCCTGAAAATACTTTTCTGGGTTTGTTTTGAATTTTCCAAATGGAAAGTGGGAAGTGTTAAAGTTTTTTATATGGTGCAAAAAAGCTGCCCTTAGTAACCAGTATAGTTCTTACCCGGAGTCTGTCTTTCTCAAAGATCTAAGTAATCCGTTAATTGCGTGTTTGTATATTTTCTAATATAATATATTGTTCTCTATAAAAGTATGCAATTTCTTTATTCTTCATATAGTAAGGTGAAGTATTTGAAGATTTAATTCACTTCAAGATAAGCCTGATTATAAAATAATTTTCTCTGACATGCAACTATTAATGATTGGTCAATGGATTAAGAACTGCAAGCAAATGATGAGATAAGCAAAATGTTATTTTGTTACCAAAAATCTGCAGAGATAAATAGCTTCTCTACATCTGCCCTGTATTTCTGCCAGTTGCATACAAGGTGACAGCTCCCTGTATTTAACAGTCACATTGCTGGGGATTTTAATTGCATCCCCAATTAATCTGCTGTTTTCATGAACTCTGGCCCAAGGTAAGCCATTTCTGAAGGATCTTTGCAGTTCCTGCAGCATTTCACGACTGTTTTAATGCTTCCTGTACAGTACAGCTGTCAGTTCCAGCTTCTTCCCAGCGATGCTAGTAGGTGTGGAGGTTGTGATCCAGTGGTGCTCGTTTTGCTCAAGCTTTCTCATTTCACTGTTTTTGCAGCTGGTGATGCTGGCTCCAGGGTGCTTCATCTGTAGGACAATTTCTAGAGAATTCAGTGAGATTTTAGATGTTCCTCACAGGGTTTGTGCCGCTTCCCACCCCAGTAAGCGTTCCTGGCTGAGGAGGGATGTGGCGGCCCTGGCTCTAGAGCGGGGTCTCGTCAGTATCGTCCCCCTCGTTCTGCTCCTTCATCCGCGCTCTCAGCTCCGGCGATGCCGCGTGCTGGCACAGCACATCCAGCAAGGACTTCCTGAAGGATTTGCAGAGGAAGAAGTATATGAACGGATCCAGGCAGGCATTCAGTGACGTCAGCCACAGCGTGCTCTCTTTTAGGTAGAACAGGGTGTTTTGGGCAGAGCATTGAAAAACGTCTCTCGTCTGGCTCAGCGTGTAGGGGATCCTGGTGAAGTGAAACGGCACGAAGCAAATGAAGAAGACCGCGATAATGATGAAAACCTTCAGATTTACAGTCTTTTTGGTTGCTTTTCCAGTGCATCTTGTCCTTTTATAGGATTTGTACAGCTCTTTACTTATGAGCATGTAGCATACAACTATGACTGCTAAATTAACCCAGAAGATAAGCTGACAAACGTAGTTCACAATTTCATGCCAGACTAAGCCAAAGTCAGATTTCAGCAGGGCACACTTCTTTACGTTCTTCGGTGTCTTCTTCTTGTTTGTTAAAATCATGTTGGGTAACGAAAGAGCAAACATGGATATCCAGATTGCTGTGGACAGGATCTTGGCGCCCAAAAGGCTCCTTGGTGTCGATGTTCTGAAGGGCGAGGTGGCTTTCTGATAGCGGTCGATAGTTATTAGACCAAGGAACAAAATGCTGATGTACATGGTAAAGTAGAACACGACCTGGGTGACCTGGCACACAAATCCCCGCAATACCCATGACACCAGCCTTGCGTCGCTGAGAATTTTAAAGGGAAAAGTCAGGGTCATGAGCAGGTCAGAAATGACCGTGTTCTTGAGGAAGATGATGAAGTGGGATTTACTGGATATTTTAAAGAAGACCCACATTGCCAGGCCGTTCATGGTGATGCCCACCAGGAACAGAACTGTGTAAAGCAAGGGGAAAATGACGTGGCTGATTCTGTTATCGCTCGTGCAGTTGCTCTCGTTTCTGGCGTAGCTGAAGTTGGTTGTGGCTTTCATCTGCACTTTGTTTTTTTCCCTCTCCCTATAAAAACAAAACAAAACAAATTGTGAGTTATTTCTGTCATAAGACTTCAGCCTTTTTCGCCTGCTTTTACGTTTTGTGCAGGGAACACTTCAGCCTGGCTTTTGATTGTCCTTGGACTGGGTCTGCCTTCCCTCTGTGTTGGCACTGGGGCAGATGGTGTGTCTGTTGGTTTGGGGGTTATGCGTTCGCCAGCAAAGTCTGGGGTTATTTGTGTAGGTATTTACCTGTTTCTGTAGGTATTTATGTGTACCTTTCTAGTTGGACAGCTCATCCTGTCATTTTCCTAAATCCAGTTGCTTTACTGGTGCTGTGTTGCAAATCAATTTAAAACCTCACTGACGAGCTGACGCGCAGGAGTTACAGTTTTGTAAAAATGGCTGTATTTCTGTATGATCTGTGGCTGTGTAAGGTAAGGCGCTCAGGGGAGCTGGTGCTTTGTCAGCCCAAACTTCCCCGACATCCCCCTTACAGAGCAGCAGAGTTTCTGTCTGTAAGATAGAGAGAAATTGGCCTATGCTTGGAAGCCCATACCAGGTTTAGTTGCCAAGCCTAATCCTAATAAGTATCCCCTAAGCATGCAAAATCAGACACTTCCCGTCCCATCCCGGAATCAGAGATTACCGCAGCGTGCTGCCGAGGAGTGACGAGACGTGTGGGTACTTCTGCGATGGGAAGCAGGTGTTCCTGGCAGGGGTTGTCTGTGGCTCCGGGTGCCCGTGGTCCCTTCAGCTCCTTGCCTTGTCCCTGTGTGGCTCCGGTGGAGTGGTCCAGCGAGGGCAGCAGCCGTGCATCGCTGTCGCGGGGCTCAGACCTTCCCCGGGCTTTGAGCTGTTTTCTGAGCCAGGGACAGCTGCGAATTCCAGGCGATGCTCTCGGGGCTTCTGCTTTTGTTTCCTCTAGAAGGGAGAGAAACAGACTTTTTATAAGAATTATGGGTTTACTTCCTGCTTTTGGCCTGTGAACAGTCACTATTTTTAGAAGAGAGTGTGTTTTGTAAGACTTCAGCTTTTCTGGGTGTAGAGTTGTTCTCCTGTCTGCCGCCTTCTTGCCTCGTGATTCTGTAGTGGTATTTTTATACGCAGCCTTACTTTTTGAAAACTTTTAAAGTAGTTGAAGGAAGCAGTGATTGGTTAGTGTGGAGAAGGTAAGTGTATTACCAAACAAAATATTTACACAGTCTATAACTTGCAGTGCTCCAGATTTTTAAGTTCTATACAGTGCATCAACATTATGTGATATATTTTATTAAAAGACTAAATATAACCAGTTATGATTTCAGTAAACTACACATATTTCGGTTTCTTTGGGGTGTGCAAATCCAAAGTTTAAGAGTTGGGCGGCATCTTTTTTTCGATGGGCTTGTACATAATAAGAGAAATGTCACACAGTTTGTAGACATCAGTCTGCTGTTTACTCATCTGCTGCTGACTGTCAGTCCAGGAGGGTCACCCACACGTGTCCTCTAACTCTGTCCTTACAGGTACAGACAGAATTCAGAATTTCAGGTTACATTTTTCCCCTCTGTATTTTTACATTGCTTTAGTGATTTCCTTTGGCATTGTTCTCTGCACTGATAACTGCAGAAGATGCTTTCTGTGCTGAAGGGGTGGATGTTGGTCCCTGCAGCCTGGGCATGGGCTCGGGTGCTGCAGGCGGTGACAAAAAAGC